GTGCGCAGGGCTCCCTCAAAAAACCCGGTTTAGGGTTTAGGGTTTAGCAGGAGTACGAGACCTGGCTGGGACATGGCTCAGTGGAGAAGGTCCCGGGATGGATCTGCCAGGTGTTTCGCAAGTTTCAGTTTGAGGCTTTGGGGTTTGGGGTTCAGGATTTGGGGTTTCAGGGTTTAGGGTTTAATTATAGGGTTTCAGCGTTTAGGCTTGGGGTTTGGAGTTGGGATTTGGGGTTTGGGTTTAGGGTTTGGGGTTTGGGTTTAGGCGTGGTGTTTAGGGTTAGGATGGCAAGTAGAGGGTTTAGGGTGCAGGGTAATGTTCATAACCGTTCCGGATCTGTTAGTACGGTTCAGGGATCACGGTTTCGCAGTGAAAGCTCAAGTAAATCTAAACCACTGATTCGCTGACACCTTTTCCAGCTTCAAGCCTCAAGATCCGGTTCCCAGTTATCAGGGGTCTGCATCTTCGTTGCTGAGTGGGTACTTAAAGGATCACGGGACTTAGTAAGTAGGGTTATAACTAAGGTGACTATACTTATAACCCAATTCAGGGACATATAACCTAACTTGCCAAGTCCCATGATCCTTTAAGTAGCCTTGAACCTTTTTGGGGGCTAGTGGAATCCTATCAAAGAAATTGAAATCGTTTGGGGGCTAGGGTTCTCAGGCCCAAGTCCTGATCCTTATATAACTCCAGACCCCATGAAACCCTAAACCCCAAACCCCGCAAACCCCAATCCCCAAACACCAAACCCTAAACCCTAGACCTTGAACCCCAAACCCCAAACCCTAAATCCTAAACCCTAGATCCAGAGGCGTTGAATGTTTCGGGTTTGCGGTTTAAGGTTCACCCTAAACCCTAAACCCTAAACCGCATCTTTCTGGCTTCCTGGCTCCCGGCGTGTACCCCTAGAACTAGAGGCTTCCCCGTTGCACATGAAGATCAAACCGAATGTTGGGGCCTTGATAATTTCAATAGGGTCTTGGAGGTTCCTGATTCTAGAATTATAGTATAATATAGTATAATATACCCCAAACCCTATTCTAATTATTAAGGCCCCTTTCTTAAACCCCTCAAAGAGTTTGGTGGTGCCGGGGATTCCAAGGCGGAAAACCGGGCGGTGGGCTCAATATAGGGACCTCATATTAGTTGCAGCATAACAGCACCGAAGGCAGGTCGGGAAGCCAATGCTACTTTTTGATGGCTTACCCTCACCCTAAACCCTAAACCCTAAACCCTAAAGCCCTAAAGCCCTAAAACCCTAAAGCCCTAAAGCCCTCCCTGCTCAGCAGGCGAAAATCACGCTTGCCACGCAGTTTGACCTCGTTGGCATTACCGAGCGCATGAACGAGGCTCTCTTGCTAGCTATGGAACCGTAAGGCTCCATGTACCCATGTTTATAGTAGATTCTTAAGCCTTAAGGTACCAATATAGGGACCCCTTTAAGGCCTAAGTATCTACTATCAAGGTACATGGAGCCTTTGGGGAAGGATCTCGCAATTGACGCTTTTGTGGGAACCCCACCCCAAACCTTCAACCCTAATAGTGGCTCGTGTAGGATCGGAGATCTTGGTGATTGAACATCTTGAACCCTCGCTGTAAAGCCGACTGTGGAAGCCTGGAGATGCACTAATACTACTCCTGAGGGTACTGTACACAATATACCCTAAACCCTAAACGCTAAACCCCTAAACCCGAAACCTTAATCTACCCCAAAACAAGAGCTCTTGTCTGCTTTTGAAGGCCCCCGTGTGACTGTTGATGCCTGAAAATTTCTGCATGACCTACAATATCGCTCATACGGCTGATGGACAAGATCCTGCATGACCTCATTTACCTAAACTATGGGATTTATGGTACTATACTATATTTGGGTCATGCAGAATGTTGTCCATCAACAGTATGGGTAGTTCTCTAAATTAGGGTCCCTTCTAGGTACTATATGTGGGAGCTAAAAAGGGACCCTGACTCAGAGAACTAACCATCTGTTATGTCGCGACAAAACCTACGACCCTTATAGAAGCTTTATACCCCCGTAGTATAAAAGCCTTACATAATCCCTTTACGGAATCGAAAGAACCCCAGTACCCTGAAACCCAAACCCTTAACCTTAAACGCTCTAAACCCTGTAACCCAAAAATAGAACCCTGGAGCGCCATATCTCCGAACCCTAAAACCCTAAACCAGGTAACACGCCCCTTAATGACCATGGGTTTTTGGCACGGTCCATGCGTAGGTAAGATTTGCAAAAACGCTTCAAACGTGGGGTTGCGCGCGCTTTTTTGACAAAAGGGTTTGTTTTGGATGCTTTCAAAGTACCGTTTTTACAGGGTTTTGTGTGTCGAAGCACGAAAGCACCGGCCCCAGTGGGAGATTTCGAACCTTCCGAATGCGCATAGTGCAGCCGGCCTCTTTTTTCACAGATTTGTTCTTGTTCTTGGCGCTGCCAACCGACTACGGTCCGTCGACGGCTGGTTTGGAGTATTACCCCACCCCACCCCCCCAAGAAAGGGAAGCATTACACCAGCAAAAACCTGCCAAGACCTCGTGGTCATTACGGCACGCGTTAGCCTAATCCCGAAAACCCTAAACCCTAAACCCCTGTTGTTCGACCGAGTCGCTCGTCAGCCTCGGCAAACTTTACGGTGGCCCAGCTGCGCTGGTGCTGGTGTTGGGTTTAGGGTTTAGGGTGTACCTGGGACTCTAAATCCCTACAGTTTTATGGGTTCTACCTGCTAGTTAACGGGTAATGGTGGCAAAACTGTAGGTAATGAGTTACAGGTAGGGCCTAATAGGGGCCTATAGTAAATCATAGAAAGTCCTGATTGTCGCAACTTGAACTGCATTCTTTGACAAGAAGCCAACGGTGGGTGTCGAAAGAGACTGGTTCAAGGGGTATCCGGTAAGGGTTTAGGGGCCAGGCGTTTAGGATTTCGAATTAAGTTTAAGGGTTTAGGTTTTAGGGCCCAGGGTGTTCGTTTTGAGTTCGTTTTTACAGGTCTCATAGGGGATCTGTATGGGTTCTATCAGGGTTAAGCATTCATAGGGATCAAGGGTTTAGGATTGAAATTCAGAATACAAGAGATGAGGGCTCACAGGGTCAAAGAGGGCTGAGGGTTTAGGGTTTAGGGGTTCCTTTAGGTAGAGACCCTATACTACTTTAAAGTCCTTCTAACTATAACCGAACCCTTAAAAGCCTACTGAATCGGAACTAAACCCGAAGGCCCATCCCTTAGCTGCAAAGTGGCATGAACCTGTGAGTCGAAACAAGAACAGGGTTTAGGGTTTAGGGCTTTGGGCTTAGGGCTTCAGGTTTAGGGTTTAGGGTTTAGGGTAGGGTTTACCTGGACCCTTAAGACCCTCCTTTTGTAGGATTCCTTAGTATGATTTCCTTATATAAGTCCTTGAAAAGGTAGGTTCCTTGTGGTCTAGGTAGGGGTGAGCACTTTAGTGGTTAAAGGGGTCACCTTACCAAGAGCTTTTTGGAAAGGTCTATAAGTGTTTAGTGGCTATAGGGGTTTAGGGTTTAGGATTTCAGGCGTTTCGGGGTGCCGGGGTTTCGGGTTCAGGGTTTAGGGTAGGTTTGCAGATTCATTCTATAATGGGCGTCGAGCGGATTGTTCAGGGCGCCACGGGGTGTTCGGCTTTCTCGAAGTACCCATATAGCACTTACTTTAGCCCTAATTAATGATGTAGTCCCTAAATAGGTACTTTAGGGCCAACGTACACATACTGTTTCTCTCTCTCTCTCTGTTTCTCTCTTTTTTCACATACGTACATACATACATACATACATACATACATACATATATATATATATATACACATCTGTATATATATATATATGTGTGTGTGTGTCCATATATATATATATATGCACACGCATATATTGGTACATGACCCTTAGTTTACGGTTTCTGGGTCTGGGGCTTTTGGGCTTAGTGTCGGGGTCCTGGAGTGGGTCAGAAGGACGACTCCGAATTCAGGATGCTTCTCAAAGTCATCGAGGCCCTATATAGAAATTTCAAGACCTAGCTCGAACGAAGTTTGAAGGAATGTTCCGTCTACTTGAGGAGTATTTGGGTCGAAGCTGCTTGGAGTTTGGCTCTTGTCGCGATTAGGGTTTAGGGGAACCTCAAACATTGAAGCTGTGCACCAGACTCAGACACTGCTGACGACGGTGACGGTGACGGTGACGGTGACGGCGACGACCATGACGACAGCCACAATGGCAGCAGCGACGACTACCGAACGATGAACCTTTTCAAGACCTTTCAACTGTCCTTGACACGCGGAGGCAGCATGTCTTTTCGGGGTTGACTTCGATCTGCTACACCTTAATTACAATGAATCCCAGAAAGTCGGAAGCCCAATACCCACGATGCACAATAGTACTGTGTATTGGGAAGTTCAGCACAAACTGTCCTTAATCCGGCTTCCCAACCTGTTGGGGTTTACTTTAATCATCCTTGATCTGAACCCAAAGGGTGCAAAGTAACTATCTGATGGAATGTAGGGTTTCTATTTCAGGAAGTGGTTTGGCAAAGTATCCCCCATAATAGTACCTAGGACCCTTTGGGGGGTCCCTGAGGCTTGACAGCGGACGAGATGGCTGTGATCGGTCAGAGCGTGCCACGGGACCACGCAGTTAAGCCTATCTGTGGTCATGGTGCTGAGGGGTTCGTTGGGGACCAAATCACCTTTTTTAAGTAGAGGCCTATGAACCCCTATATTCCTATATGGTATATGAGCCTTAAGCTCTTTTCGGGTTCATGTCGTCCTTAAGGTTCAGGAGGCAAAGCAGAACGAATATAAATTGGCGACAATGTACCCTAATTGTGCTTACATAGTGTGCATGAGCTGGTACACTCTCCAAACCTTATTCTAATTTGTGCAAGCTAGATGAAGCCCTAATCCGAATAATTTCCAGAAGCCCTACAAGACCAACACAACATCCTTCTACAGCTGCTTATTTGCCCTAGTGCGGCTAAGTCATGTAGTTTGAGTATTGTGGTGTAGGAATTGAGGGTTTGCAGTGTCAGGTCAAGGTTGGCGAGTAGAGTCGCTCAGTCAGGGTTCTGCGTGCGTGTTTTAAAACCGGGGCTTAGGCTTATAGGCGTAGTATACAGAGGTCTCAACCGTCATTAGCAACTGCAATAATCTTCCGATAACCGCTTTGTCGTTTCCGTCGCCAAAGCCTCCCCCCCCCCCCCCCCC